CGTTCCTTGGCGCGAAATTACACAGAAAGTGATCTCAATGGAAGATTCCGAGTACCCATGGATGTGACACTACATTAGAGGTAGGTGAAACCTCTTGCAATTTAAGGCATTCCATAACCGAGTAGACCAGTAACCAGTTGTTGTGGCATTTTTGGCCAAAAACGTGTGTTTCCTGAAGGGTTTTCGAATATGTTTAGGTTTATTTTCTATCATACAAAGTGGTGCACCCCAGTTATAAATTGGTTTATAAACCCTATTAACTAGTTCGTTATATCTACTATAAACCATAGAATTCAGCCACTTATAAGGCAACTGAACGCTATCTTGGGGGCCCCACATTGTAGCTGGCATCTTTGATTTCCAACGAAGACTACTGTTGAAGGTGGACCCGCCGGACCCTCCGAACCCGCCGAACCCGGAGCCTGATATTGAAGCAGTCCCTCGGTATGGATGGCGCCGGGCAACTCGCCTCTGCAATGTGGGGCCCCCGTTTTCGATAGCTAAGTTGGTGCACATAACTCCAATTTCACTATGGTTTATGGTACGCAAAGAACTATAGTTATGGGGGTTTATAAACCAACTTATAACTGGGGGGCCCCACATTGTGGTAATCAAAGATATTCGAACATGACAAGCAGGAAACCTGTCTGAACTGGAGATTCGTTGGTGTATAAAGCCATTAACTAAATATATAGTTATAATAGCAATTTCAATAATGTCCTTTCGGTAAAAATAGGTTTGGGCCGGATTGGTATATCATCTATCATCATTTAGCTGTTGTTAAAGGGGTAAACCTTCAAACCCCTCTATGAAAATCAACCAACCAATGGGAAAAGGACATCTATGTTCGAACATGATAAGCAGGAAAGTCCCTGAACTGGAGATTTGAATGGCCAATCAACTCATGGTGGATGTTCAATGGTTCATCACATCAGACCAAATCTTCGTGTCGCTTCACTAGACGAAAAACATGGGTGTTGAATGTTTGATATTCAAGTCTATACCTAGGTCAATCTTAGATGGATACTTTAATCCTTTAGTCTTTTGGCATCAACGGGAATATCTACTAACCAGCAAATTAATCATTTTTTTGCAGGGTATCTAAGATTGGCAATGTACATGGCACATCATTCTCTACATGCATGATGCGGACTTGGCGGACTGCCAGAAGGTGGCTACGTATAATTTGCACAGTCGCACAGAGAAGCCTTGCTCAGCAGATGCACATGGGCAGACAGATGCCTGCAAGGCAATAGCGTTTCATATGAAAGACATCACACCGATTCCCATCTGGGTATGGCTAATGTTAGGTTAGCTTCAACATCCCCCATTGTCATCAGTGTGCTTCATGAGTGGGGAAGCTATCCAATTTTCATGGCTTCAACATCCGCGCCTTTTTCTGATCCCAAATTTTGCCAAACAAAATTTTCTGTGTTCCTTCGTCTCCACCGGATGAGGGTGGTCTCCTGCAGAAGGGAATACTGGTAATATAATTATACTGTAATCATAAATCATCGATTTCGATGGGTCATGACTTCTATAGCTCCCCAGATGCTCTATGTATGGTATATTTACCTACAAAACTGGATGATTTTGAAGGTAAATGTTGATAAATATCCAGCACCATGGAGCATATGGGCTATGTTAAACAACCAGATGTTTTATGAATATCTCATGATGCAGGGGGTTTCAGCAGCTGAGGTGGAAGTGTCGGCCGGCGCAGGCAACGCAGGTTGGGTGGTGAAGCATGGTTGGGTTCCAGCTGGTTCAATGTGGAAGCGTAATTTTATCAGTAACCCCCAAAAAGATCTGGAAAAGTCAAAAATCCTCCTAACATAGTGGTGAATCATGGTTTTTTCTTTTGCCTTTTGGCTTGTTATGTAGTTATCCAACATGGGAATCATAGAAGCTGCATGGCTGTTTCCAGCGGATGCACCTCGCATGACCAGCGGATGCTAAGCCGTGGGTAAAACAATGTCTTTAAGCCTCTGGTAATGTCAAAATAGCTATTGAAAATACCCCATCTATAGTTGATTTACCCATGAAAAATTGTGATTTTCCATAGTTATGTTAGTCTATACTAGGTCAATCGACTGGATGGATACAAACTAATCCTAACTAGTCGTTTGGTATCAATGAGAATATCTACGTTCACCAGCAAAGTTTTTTTTTTGCAGGGTATCTAAGATTGGCAATGAAACAATGTCATTTTTACCAGCCATGACTGGGAATGGTAAACATACCACCTATAAAAATGGTGACTGGGGGCATGATAAACATGGCATTATGTTACCCACATTAAGGTACAATGTGGGGCCCCCGGCCCCCAAGATAGCTAAGTTGGTTTATAACTCCAATTTCACTATGGTTTATGGTACGCAAAGAACTATAGTTATGGGGGTTTATAAACCAACTTATAACTGGGGGGGGGGCCACATTGTAAGTATGGTACAATAATGATGAAGTATAACATAGTATAACTATAGATTAGTACCATGGTACCATAACTAGTTCAAAAAAAAATCCAGGGCCTGCTTCATTCCTTGCTGCCCGTTCAAACATGTTCAAACCACCAAGCAGATTGGGAGTTCTCCCGGGTAAACCTTGGTGTATTAGGTTTACCATTTTGGTTATTTAACCGTTTACGGTTAAAATCACTATTTTTAATAGGTAAATTATCATAAATCTATAAATGGACCATAGGGTACTAGTGAAGGGCTTAAGTTTGAGCAGTAAACTCATTGCTGGTTTCACATCTTGGGGCGTTGTTCTTTTCCCATCCTATTTTGGATGATGACCCCCAATGAAACTTTTTTTTTCAGGAGGGTTAGAACCGTCAGCTACTGTAGTAAGTGTGTGTTTTAGAATTTATTTCATGTTTTTTGTAATTATAGATGATTCCATAGTTCAGCGAAATGATTATTAATGATTCTTTACTTCAACCAGCCAAATTGACCTTAGTCCGGGGTGATAAATGGAGGAAAATGATTCCCGTTTAATGTTGGGAGTTGCCCCATCTGGCCCGGCCCTTTCGCAGAGGCAACGATGTGGAGACGGGCAATGCTACACAACCGAATCAGCCAACAGATTAAGCGCTTTGTCAGCTCCTACCATTGAATCTCATACCCCAATCGAACAAAAAAAACACTCATTGTATGGTCCCAATGTGATTTCATCCCATACTAAACCCTGGCTTTTATAATTGATATTGGGAGTGTTTAATATGAATGTCGGAGAGTAATTAGTTGCGCAGGGATTGGATCCCTTCAACAATGTCCGCTGAGTGGTCATGGTATGCCACAACTTGCTTGGTGGCATTTTGCCTGTGGACGCGTGGGATAGTCCAAAAAAAAATGGAGTTGCCTCCAAACAGCTCGTATAAGTCAATGGGAAATATGATGATCAACCGCCACATGTTTGGGGTGTCCTCGTAATTTTCAGGCAAAGCCATATTAATATGTTTCTTTTTCCCCGCAACTTCAAAGAAGGTTGCGGAGACTGAAATTTGGATCGTTCAATGATGCCCTGAGAGCTCATTTTTGCCCTGCAGTCACATATGTGATGTCCAGGGCAAGATGGGCAAGGCATCCGTCAGAATGAATTGACAAGTCAGTTGCCAACGTTTTTTGTGTCAACATATCGTGATATACCGTGCCAGCAGTGGGAGCGCTTCTTAGACGATGTCTGGGTGTCCATCAACCCACGATGTACCATGCTGAAGACGCATGAGACCAGTTTGCCATGTGAAGGCACAAGATGTGTTTTCCATTGACGGTTCGGCGAGCAATAGGCTTAACAAAGAAAAAAACAAATGTGCATCCATCGCAAGTTTGGTTGGTCTGTTTACCAAACAGTGGTGAGCTATAGCATCATTCTCGTGGATTCGCTGATTGCCTTGTGCAAGTACATGTGTCTAGCTTAAGATGCTACATGTTTACTAGTGCCAAAGAGGAAGACAAAATGTTCCGAAACAAGTACCTGCAAAAACACTGTCAATGGTTAGTTATTGCATGCAATTATCCATATTGATATTGGATGATCATATTTAGATACCAATTCAGATACCAATAGGAGCCATTCAGATATCCATTCAGATAACAATTTAGAATATAGTAATCCCCAAATAGAATTCAAATAGATCGGTTTAAGTAAATCACCATCAAATTTCTATGATATACCATATTCCATCTATTTGGGGATGACTACAATGTGGGGCCCCCCAGTTATAAGTTGGTTTATAAACCCCCATAACTATAATTATAAGTACCATAAACCATAGTGAAATTGGAGTTATAAACCAACTTAGCTATCTTGGGGGCCCCACATTGTATAATTATGAATAATTCAGATACCTCCTCCATTGCTCCGTGCTCCCCAGCTCCATGACTCAGATGCGCTGACCGTCGGCAGAACGGCTGACAGATTCTTTCCGCATGTCCTCCACTGTGGGATGATAGCGTACAGACATCCTGACTTTGATGGTTTTTTGTTGATGCAGGCAAAAACATAGAATTTATCAATCTGATTTCCCTGGTTCTTATTGAATTTTGGTCTACTGAATTAAGAGAACGTTTCTTAAATCTGACTGAACTCAGTACCCGGACAATCTTGAGAATCTTGAAACATGTTTGGTAACACAACGGCTCAAGCGACTTGCCGACACAGGTGGCACCATTGAATGTCCTGCGTTCGTGTGCATCACTTCTAGCTGATGATAGTTACGATAGTTCATTTTTCTGATGTTTTTTCACGCATTCGGGACATATCAGGCAGACACAGTCATCACAGCACACCACTTTTCCTCTTTTTTGCCCTTCTTTGAAGCATCTGTTACCCTCTGGCAATTTAACATAGCTACGGAAAGTCACCATTTGAAAGAAGAGCAAATCACCATCAATCATCTATCAACGGACCATTTTCCAGTTCGCAAACTGTTAAATAATCCGTGGATCCCCTGTAGCCACCCGTCACTAGCTACAACCAGCTGTCACCAGACACACCAGACACTGCGCGCTGTGCGTTGTGCCATGACGCTCTTAGACATCTTCCAAGCAGGTTGAGTCTGACAGCCGGGTCTGAACCTGCCATGAAAACTATCCCCCTGGTTGTTTGTTTAATATATATATATAATATAATATAATATATAATATATAATATATAATATATAATATATAATATAACATATAATATATAATATAATATATAATATAATATATAATACAATATATAATATAATATATAATATAATATAATATATAATATAATATATAATATAATATAATATAATATAATATATAATATAATACATATATATATATATGACATATATAATATATAGTATATAATATATAATAATATATATATATACATACGAGACTTACATTTACTTAATATCATATCCCACAATAAGGAAACCTGTCAACCAACGAATATAATGAGATGGGAAAGCGCCTGTCACCCGCCGTGTGGATGTTCATGGGATGATGACTTGCGTGTGGATTTCCATGGATTTCCGTGTCCAATTTTTGTTGGGGTGGTCCAAAAAAAATACCCTCTGGTTATTTAACATAGCTGTGATTTTCCATGGCGAACTGTTAAATAAACAGAGGGTAACAAAACCTTCGAAGAATTCTGAGGTACCAGTGAATTCCTTTGTGACTCGTTGATGACTTTTCGCGGGCCATGTCCCACGCATGGTACCTGAAAGATGCAGGGATCACCATAAGACTAATCGCCATGAAGTATTTCTATAATATTCTACAATAAGTTGATGCGGAAGGAGTGGTTCAATATGTTTCAATACATGACGAATTAATGACTCACTATGAATCGCCACAAAGATGTTGACTATGAAGCAATGAACCTGGGTGAATCCAACGAACGTGTCCATGAATGTCAACTGCTGTCGCTGGGACTGGCACCTTTCCTATTACTTAATAATGTTAACTGATGTAAGTCCAGTATTAATGGGATATCCTCCCCTAAGTAACAATAATGGACAATAATGGGGATGTTACTTACTATCTTAATATTACTTATTGCATCGTAGGTGTCGATATGGGCGAAGGTGACGATTTGGCGAACAGTTGTTGCTCATGTTGAGACTCTCATTTCGATATTCCCAATTCCAAGAATAGCCATGTCCCTTGGTCAACGTCGGAAGGGGTACTTTAATGATTCAAAGAAGTCTTTGGTCAATGGGAAATTCAGGATCCTAAAATGGAGGTACTGTACCATATAAGGCCAATTTTGCTGGGATATTCCCTTACATAGGCCTTACATAGGCCTTATATATGGTAGGTACCTCCAATTTAGGTCCCTGAAATGGCCATTGATTTGGCATTCTTTGGCCAAAGGTGGCAATCATAAACATCATAAACTAGAAGGTGGGGCAGTGCGGCATCCTATCCCGACAGCGAACGACAAGCAGACATAACTCCAACTGCACTAAGATTTGCAGCAATGACCTAACTACTGTATTCATGGGGTGAACACAAACCAACAAATCTTGTTGGTGGTTTGGAACATGTTTTATTTTTCCATTTCATATATGTGATGTCATCATTCCCATTAACGAACTCCATCATTTTTCAAAATGGTTATTGTCAAATTGTCACCACCAACCAGAAATAGTCTCATTGCCCCATTATGTCCTAATTTGTATTCTCATGTTGGTTTTCCCATATGATTTTCCCATATGTATTCTCATACAGTTGCCCCATATGTATTTACATTCCCATATTTTCCATATGTATTCTCATGTTGTCCTATGATGTTCCCATGAGGTTTCCTTAAATCCACTCATTTTCGTAGTGTTATCCTGGAATATCCTGGAGTAGATGGGCATTGACATCTTCATGACCATTCCCATGTTCTATTACAAATTACCATCTGGTAAACTAACATAGCTATGGAAAATCACCATTTTTCATGGGAAAATCCACTATAAATGGCCATTTTCAATAGTTATGTTAGTTTACCAGAGGGTAATGGGAATGGTAAGAATATGTCACGAAAAATGGAAGTAGTAGAATATGGAAATTGACATGTTCCGAATAGGATTTGTGAAATTTCCATACTCTATCTACTTCAACTCCAAGGTGAGGTCAGCTAAATTGACACACAGAAAACGAACGGTGAACGAACGTGTGGGTTTTTGTGGGATATGACGAAAGCTGTCCATGGGGTTTATAAACCAACATCACTGGGGGGGGCTCGCCTTGTCTTCTTACCACAGGTAGATCATGTTCTGGCACGACCTGGTTGAAGGTTATTGCCATGGATACCTATCAATAATCACAACTGCACCTCCAAGTATCACCACAAATAAATCATCAATTCCTATAGAATCCCATAGAATTCCATAGGTTCCATAAAGCCCCCGCTCAAATCCATTTGGAGGTTTCCTGAAATGAGGGTACTCCATAATGGATGGGTTACAATGGAAAATCCTATTAAAACTGATAATTTGGAGGTACCACCATTTTAGGAAACCTTCATTTATCAAATGGAATGGTTACGATTTACCAATTTATAAATATACCATTTGGAATGGAATGGAGGTTTCAAATAGGATCATCAGTTTTATTTTGGTTATCAAATATGGATTTTAAATATCAATTTCCATTTCGGAATTTATGTTGGCTATTTTAGTTAATGGTGGTTATAATGGTTTATAAGCCACTTGTAACTGGGCCCCATCCATTCTAGGTCAATCTTAGATGGATACTTTAATCCTGTAGTCTTTTGGTGTTAATGGGAATATCTACTAACCAGCAAAGAATTTTTTCATTTTCTGCTGGCTATCTGGCAGATTGGCAATGATAATCTATATTAGTTAATTAATCTGCTGTTGATATTCTCAGAGTTTGAAACTGCTAGTGGAATATCACCACCAGATTAATGAGGGAAAGATTGATACATCCATATGGGTATGGATCAATACCTATTAATACCATTTTTAATGGGATGAACATCCATAAATCCCAGCTATTTTGATGTGAACTACAGGGGTACAAGGTTTTTTTATCAAGTACCATATTTCTGTCTTCCACGTGATTCCACCTGCAAAGATGCTTGGCCAGGTCGGGCGCCCCATGGCACCAGCGAGTTGTGCGTGGTGAATCGACATGGAGCCTCTGTGCTTTGGCTTAAAACTCTTTGGAAAACCCATTGGAAAACCATAGGAAAACCATAGGAAAACCATAGGAAAATGGTGATTTAATGAGGGTTTATGGTGGTTTAATGGGATTTAATGTGATTTACCCTCTGGTAAACTAACATAGCTATTGAAAATGACCATTGTCAATGGCTAAATCCACGAACTAAATCACCATTTTTCAATAGCTATGTTAAATTACCAGAGGGTATGTGATTAGTAGTGGTTAATAGTGGTTAATGATGGTTAATTTTCATATATGATGGTTGGTAATGGTATTTGTTCTGGTGAAATTTGTTCTGGTGAATTCTAATAATTGATTAGATATGATGTGGCTTATATAGGTTAGTGGTTTGGATCATGAATGTTATTTTCTCCAATAGTTGGGGTGATGATCCAATCTGACGAACTCATATTTGTCAGGGGGGTAGGTATCCCACCAATTAGCTAGTAGGGACCATCCAAAAAAAGGGGGAACCCATAGAACTTTTCAAAGGTGAACAAAAAAATATGGGTTAGTACTCATGGTTTCTTGTCTATAATGGATTATTCTGGTTAATATCCATAAATATCACCAATTTTTAGTGGAAATTAATCTTCCAACCCCTATTTGCCGGGGTCTATGTTAATTTACCGGAGGGTAACACATGATGGTTAACCAAGGTTAACTATTGCATGGGTTAGTAATAATGGTTCATATTGGTAAATACCGAACCAATCATGGTTAATACTCATGATTATCTATGATTACTTATGACTATTTGGATGTTGTGTAAAAGTAATACATGAATCTGGGTAAATTATAACGACCTCACTGCGACCTCACTGGAATCATGGTTAGTAAGGGAAATCATCCCCAAATGGCCTGAATTCAGGTTAGTGAAATATCATAATTTACCCAGAACTATATAATGATGCTGAATGAATGAATGAATGAATGAATGAATGAATGAATGAATGAATGAATACCTATAACATAATAAAACTGACGAACGCATGAATAACATCATGAAACTAACAAACGTAGTTGGAGATGTATCTGATTCTATTACATGTAACAAATGATAGTTAATGATCATCAGTAATTCACGGGACGCCCGCAAAGGTGTCATCACATGTGGCAAGCTGGGAAAATCGTCGAACTAGCCATGGTGGATTGTCCAGCAAGCCATGTTTGATTACCAGAGTGCAACTAATGAAATATAGCTGGATGCATCTATATTGTATATACCCAGATGCTCCATGTATGGTATATTTACCTACATTTGGGTGATTTTTTGGGCAAATGCTGGTAAATATTTCATACATGGAGCATATGGGATATATATATATATACATATATTAATTAATGTGTCACATAATGATATATGATTTGAGTGGGGATAGAACTATTGGGGATATCACCAGTTTATAGTTCATAAGAGAAAATTATTCGGTATAATTAAGACTAATCATAGGAAGTTTGTTGGGGACACTACTAATGAAATCGGACTTAAAGGGTTTTGAATGGAAATTAACTATACCCTCTGGTTATTTAACAGTTCGCCATGGAAAATGGCCCATAGAAATAGATGGTTTACCTATTGAAAATGGTGGATCTTTTCATGGCGAACTGTTAAATTTAAATAACCAGATGGTAATGTAAATAGATCATCATTGGGTTTTCAACATCGCACAAATGGGATTTCACCAGGCAACATTTGGTCGAAGTGTCGACACAACTATACTGCTATACTACCCTCTGGTTATGGCTAACATAGCCATGGAAAATCACCATTCTTAATAGGTAAACCCAGGTAAACCATCTATAAATGGGCCATCTATACCATGGCTATGTTAAATAACCAGAGGGTATCCCATAATGATGCTCCAAACAGCCAGATGTGGAGAGTGGCCTATATTTGGGCGTCCGCTACTGGCCGAAGTATCACCAAATCTGGACCAAATCCACCGAAGCGAAGCTCAGTGGGCTTAGCTTCCCCCATGGGGACCCTAGAAGTTGGGGTGGGCGTGGAAAATTCGTCTGGAATTCCTAAAATCTATGGTGTGTTATTTCCCGTAATCTTACATAACAATTGGACATGTCCCCACTTATGGTTGATTTTCCCAGCAAACCTCAGTTTAGAGAGGAATTCTTCCAAGAAATATGTCCTATGATTTTCCCATGGTTTATAGGGAATTTTCAGCTTGCCCTGTTTGATTTTCCATCGAGGTGACGGTCATCCTGTGCGACAACTTTGGCGGAGGGCAGCTTCTTGGTGATGGATTTTAAGCAGCCAAGGCACCTGTCAGATTCACCAGGTTTCAGGCATGGCAGGAAGCGACTGGTTAGCAAAATTGTGTGGCATATGGTACATGTATGTCCATTGTCAATCGACTGGATGGATACAAACTAATCCTAACTGTTGTCTTTTGGTATCGATGGGAATATGACTAACCTCCATATAACTAATAAATATGACTATCTGGGTAAATTTGATCACGACCGAACCCTGATCTCCCGAAGCCTGGAATCATGGTAGGATTCGGGAAATGATCCCCTTTGATGGCCGCAAGATTCAGGTTTGTGAAATATTATTTCATTTACCCAGAGGTATGTCCATGTAAAAGATGTTCTTAGATGACTCATTGGGGTACCGATGTTGACCAAGAATTAAAACACCCCCAAAGGAAACTATGCTTTAGTAGCGACATTCCACATCATTGGAGCTATTTAGGGAATGTTTAATATTAGGGCTTTGACCAATGAACCATAGTTTCCCTACTAAACCATAGTTTCTCGATTTCTAGGGAGCTGTTTCATAGGGTTTTCTGCTAAGCCATAGTTTCTAGGTGGGTGTTTCATATGGGCTTTGACCTGAAAAAAGCCATGGCTTTTCTCAAGCCCCAGGTTGAGCTGGTCTCAGCTCAGCAGCGGCGAACGGCTCTGTGTCGCCATGGTGGAGTTGGAGGCGGTGGTAAAAAAAATTCCTCGGTTGAAGAGAAAAGATACAGGAAAAAAAGGTGAACACATGTGAAAAACCATAGCAATAGCTTGATTTTAACAAAAAATAGTATGATGGTAAAGAAAAACACATAGTTTGATGGTAAAAGCCAATATTTTGATTGTTAAAAAAAAAGAAAAAACATAGCTTGATGGTGAACTCCCATATGTTGATGGTAAAAACCATGGGTTTCAGCCGCAAAACCATGGGGAAAAAAACGTGTAAAAACATGTAAAAATTGGAGTTTCTGGCTTCGATTTTCCCTTGAACCAATTTTGAGGCCAAAAAAATGGTACGCTTGGCACGCCTTCTTTTTTATTGAACTGCAACTGGCAGCTGCATAGAACAAAAAAAACAAATTCAAAGTGGTAAAATGTGATATAATTAATAAATTGTTCTTTTTTTTTGTGGGCAAAGTTGCTGAGGTTCGAACTTGATATATAGATATAGATAGGGATGTTCGAACTATCCTGTTAACGACATTTTTTTGTTGGAGACCGCAGCCGCCGGGAGAGTTGCCACGTGCATCAACTACTTTCAGGGTGTCAAACTAATTACCCTCTGGTTATTTAACATAGCCATGGAAAATCACCATTTTTGGCAAACCATCTATAAATGAGCCATTTCCCATGGCTATGTTAAATAACCAGATGGTACATCTAGTTACATCTAGTCATGAACATATTGGAAACCAATGGAAACCAATGGGTCATATATCTACTCCCTTCATGTTGAATATGTTGATCTGGGCATGGTTTAAACCCTATAAAATACTTGATATTTCGAGATATTTCGTGAAGGTACAACACCAGCCAGATCCGCCAGGACTTTGATCATGCAGAAGCCTGCGCAGGACTTTTCCACGGGGCCAGGAGATTTTCGGAGAAAATGACATCTTTAATCCTTTGGTTGGTTCAATGGGAATTTCAGGATCCTAACATGGAGGTACTGTACCATATAAGGCCATATTTTGTGGGGATATTCCCTTACATAGCCCTTCCATAGGCCTTATATATGGTAGGTACCTCCAATTTAGGATCCTGGAATTCCCATTGATTGGTGGTTTGGAACATTTTTTATGTTCCCCAATAGTTGGGAGATTGATCCAATCTGACGAACTCCATAATTTTTCAGGGGGGTAGGTATACCACCAATTAGTCCTGTTTAGTGGGACAAAACGATGATCATCCAATGCATTTTGGATTACCTGTTTTCAGACATGTTCAGACCAATATTGAACTCATATTTTTGTCTGCTGAAAATTGCTAATTCTGTGGGTCCATTAGTGCCCCATTTATAGTCGCCACACCTTTATCATTTTATCTTCGTAAAGGGAAACCTCGATCTTGGTTTCCGTTTACAAAGACGCATTCTACGGAGTCTTCCACTCCGTGTTAACTGTTAATTGTGTCCGTATGTGAAATTTGTCGGACTCATCCTCCAGTTTCACCATTGTTCCTCATTTCTAGGTCAAACAAGGTCAAACCATGTTCGTCAAGTTCAATCCTAATATCACTTGAGACAAAATTGCGATGGCTTAAATGGTGAAAACTGTCTTGCAAAATCTTTTGGAGGCTATGATTTTCTCGGTGAATTTCCATTGATTTCATCCTGTCTCAAGGGAAAACACTGGGCGGACCGCAGGCTTCTATCCCCTGTCACAGCTAGCGTTGAGAGACCATCATCGTGCCGGAAACCCAAGCTCGGTGGTAGAAACCAATGCGGCTGTGTCTGACAATGGGGAAAAAATCATGATTCTGATCCCCCAAGTGTCCATTTTGATAGGGATAATTTAAGGGATAATGATGATGAATAGCGATTTAGGGCTATGTTCAGACATGTTTCGACAAAGCCGGGTTGCAGTCATATTGGGTTTTGATGCTGATCCAAAAGGATCCTCGTGTAAGATTCATTGCAACCAGGGAGGAATTCTCCACATCTCCAGAGTGCTCCCCGACATCAAGCGTCTGACGGTGGCCGATCGAGTCCTATATCGATGTTGCTTAAAGCCGCCTAAAGGCAGAAACATCCAGTGGCCTAACAAATCACCCTTGGGATTCATCGAAAAAGATTGATTTGTTTGGAAACAGCTAACTGCCCCTTTCCCATGGGACTCCATATCCCCCCAAAAATACCAAACAGGGCAATGGAAATTCCAGCATTTCTAGATGATGTTCCTATATTAAAAGCGAGGGTGGACCACTTTGCAGCGGAGGAGATAAGGTACGCGCCTCTGACTGGTTGGTAGTTTGGAACAGCCGGGCTCAAAACCTGCCAGTACTGATGGTCCATGAAAATCCATGAAGGCCATAAAAATCTGGTTGGTGGTGACTGGAACCGTAACCATGGAATTTTATTTTGGTTAATCATAAATATATGGTTAATATATGCAAATACATGGTTAATATATGGAACTTTATGACTTTCCATTCAGTTGGGAATTTCATCATCCCAACTGACGAACTCACTCCATCATTTTTCAGATGGGTACGGCTCAACCACCAAGCAGCTTAGGTCTATGGGTCAAGCTACCAGGGCAAAGATATCTTTAGCATCAAGGCAGGGAGAAGAAAATGGGATTTCGACCTGGTCAAAGCCATGTTTCTCGCTGAAAAAAGTTGGAGGAACAGCTGTTGGGGATTGGGATATGTATGTATATATATATATATATACACAGAATATATTACTATTAGTATCATTATTAATTCAATTATATACATATATATATATAGAGAGAGATGATTATATGAATATGTATGTACGTAATGTATGTAATGTATGTAATGTATGTAATGTGTGTAATGCATGTAATGCATGTAATGTATGTAATGTATGTAATGTATGTAATGTATGTAATGTATGTAATGTATGCAATGTATGTAATGTATGTAATGTATGTAATGCATGTAATGCATGTAATGTGTGTAATGTACATGTATGTATGCAATGTATGTAATGTATGTAATGTATGTAATGTATGTAATGTATGTAATGCATGTAATGCATGTAATGTATGTAATGTATGTAATGTATGTAATGTATGTAATGTATGTAATGTATGTAATGTATGTAATGTATGTAATGCATGTAATTGATATAATGTATGTAATGTATGTAATGTATGTAATGTATGTAATGTATGTAATGTATGTAATGCACGTAATGTATTCAATGTAATGTAATGTACTGTAATGTAATGTATGTAATGTATGTAATGTATGTAATGTATGTAATGTATGTAATGTATGTAATGTATGTAATGTATGCAATGTATGTAATGTATGTAATGTATGTAATGTATGTAATGTACATGTATGTATGCAATGTAATGTAATGTAATGTAATGTAGTGTAGTGTAGTGTTATGTTATGTTATGATATGTTATGTTATGTTATGACATGTTATGTATGTATAGAGAGAGAGAGAGGTGAGGGTAAACATCTTGTTTCCAGCATCCGCTCGCCATCATTTGAAGCTGGGAGTAGCTAAATGATTCCCAAATGATTTGCACTGATGCTTTCAGGATATTTCAGCTACAGCATATGTTATCATTAAATATTTACCCTCTGGCAATTTAAGATAGTTATTGAAAATGGCCATGTATAGTGGGTTTTCCCATTATAAATTGTGATTTTCCATAGCTATGTTAGGTTACCTAAGGGTACACATCTTCAAAATCTATGGAAAAAATGGTCGATTCCAATGATTCGAATTGACAGTTCCGACCTGTTCCGAAACCAGGCAGATCACGTCATCTCCACCATGTCCCTGAAGTTGAATAGCCCAAAAAACGGCCACACACTGAAGCCGCCCTGTTTTCTTCTTCACCGAAAGACGGGTAAACCTACAGAAAACTATGGAAAATTCACCATGCTATTAATGGGAAAACTCACTATTTCTATGGCCATATTCAATAGCTATGTTAAATTACCAGAGGGTAAAGACTGGTGAACCGAGGGAGGGGAATCATGGGTCGCAATTGCAAGGAATGCTGTCAGTATCTCATATGTGTTGCTGTAAATGGTTACAAGCTGCGAAAAGACAAGCGCGTTACAGTCAGTTGCTATCTGAAAATTCCATAAAATTCGGAGTCCCATGTCTATTTCAACCAAAGAACAGAGTGCTTTTTCTTGACACTCCCAGTGGCTCACTAACCAGGCATGGGCCACTGGTCATGAGGAGTATAACCATGAGGCATGGACCGCTCGGAACCTCGATTGGTGGATCCTGGTCGGGAAAGCATCGGGGATCGTGGTACCCAACATCGAGGGCATCGGCATCCGAGAGGGTATAGATATATAATGGTTAATGGCTGGTTAATAGTGGTTAATAGTGGTTAATAATGGCTAAAAATGGCTAATGATATAAAGCCTGCTTGGTGGTGACTGGAACCATGGAATTTTATGAATTTCCATTCAGTTGGGAATGTCATCATCCCAACTGACGAAGTCCATCATTTTTTCAGAGGGGTGGTGAAAAACCACCAACCAGGTATAGATATATAGGAACTGTAACTTCATTTTCTACTCAGGAATTATTGCTTGGACAATGTCCGAAACCATTCATCATCTGGTTTGAGGGTAGGACTAACCAGAACAGCTGTTTCAATCCATCTTATCTTCAACTCGATCGGTGATAACCCCATGATCTACCGCAAAAACTCCGGCAGTAGGAGACATGTACATAAGGGACGGACATTGGTTTCAAGAAATTGTGCAAACATGAGGCAAGCGAAAAAACCTTCCCCAATAGCGCTACCCACTTTGAAGGTTGTCATACCTGTGCACATACATCATTTTCCGATAAGCGATGCCCCCTAAATTTGCCATCCATCTTTCGTGTACAAATGTGTGGTAAGCGATGGGACCTTCACAAATTTGTTGATGCCCTTTTCGTGAACCTTGAGTTTGCGAGATTGCCAACATGGTTTCTCCTAGTTGTCCCTTTTAGAGGCTTCAACCATTTAGTGCCTAGTTAGTTGCCATACTCCCACCCAAACAGCTGGTGTTTCCACAGAAAATATTAATGGAAATTGATGGAAAAAAGTCAAAAAAAAAAACCTCGAAAGTACCAGTGAAGAATCATGTTTTTTTGTGACAGAGCATTTTTGGTTGGATGGTTTTTTGTTTCATGCGTGCTGCTATTCTCCACCAGGAGTTGATTCGACCCCATATGTGTCCCTGGTTCCGTCACTGTTTTGCTGCTTGTATCCCCAGGAAAAAGTACCCTAACTAACATAACTATGGAAAATCACCATTTTTAATGGGTAAATCAACTATAAATTGCCATTTTCAATAGCTATGTTAAATTACCAAAGGGTACATGTTTACAGGAAATAATATCATCAAAGACTATACTTTTACAATATCACTGCGCATGAATGGACGAGGATAGCCTTCCAATTTAAGATAGCTTTGCCATTTTTTTGGTGAAATCCCTTGCATTGTAGTTTTGCTGGCTACCCTCCGGCCTTTATCAAACATGGTAATGAACAAAACCTATCGATGGAGGTTTTCCTGGGAAAGATCATCGAACTCAATGGTGGATCTTCGATCTTCCGCTATAATTGATAACACCGGAGGGTAAATCAGGTAAATAGATGTAAACTGTTTGGTGGTTTGGAACATGAATTAGTTTTTTTCCATTCAGTTGGGAATGTCATCATCCCAACTGACGAAGTCATATTTTTCAGAGGGGTAGGTATACCACCAACCAGTTATATATATATATATATATATCTGATAAACTGTCCATTCCTTTACAATAGAATGGAAATTGAATAACCTTGCAATAAGTAACCATTATGAAAACTGTCATAACCTGTAAATTATATATCTGATATATACCACCAGATTATTATTAGTGATTCATAGTGATAATGATTAATAAGTGATTAATAACGATTAACATCTGATAAACTGTCCATTGATTTACAATACCCAGATGCTCCATGGTGCTGGTATATTTACCTACAAAACTGGGTGATTTTTCGGGCAAGTGCTGGTGTGCATATTCCAGCACCATGGTTCGCTAATCTGGGATATGGGATACATTGGGATACAATCTATTTGATTAACGGTTATATGTTTCTTGATGTGACAATGGGATAGTATCAACTCCAACAGGACAATCTGGATACGGCTATGAATCAATACCTATTAATACCATTTTTAGGGGAATGAACATCCATAAATCCCAGCTATTTTGATGTGAACTACAGGGGTACAAGGTTTTGACACACTGCCATATGGGATATGTATGTCCATTGTCAATCTTAGATGGATACAAACTAATCCTAACTGTTGTCTTTTGGTATCAATGGGAATATGACTAACCTCCATATAACTCATAGCCATATGACTATCTGGGTAAATTTGATCATAGCCATATGGGATATATAGCCATCGGTTTGTTGTTTTTTCTCCAGGTCTGCTTCGACTCCTTTCGCAGCCTGGCCGCGGCGCGGAAGACTCAGGTCCGACGGTGCCATCGGAAGAAATGGTGAAGAAAAACAAGAAAAAGTGGAGGGGGTTCTATGGATTTAGAGTGGTTTATTATATGGTTATATAATGTTATATATGGTTTTTAACACATTTTAACTATGAAATACTATGAAACAATGGTGATTTGATTGTTAAATTGGGAGTTGCCCAACAAAATACACAAAATAGGGAGTTCACCAGCCCAAAAATGGTAGATGCAAGCTATTACAGAACTGTAAACCAGTCTACTACCCCTTCTTACCCCTTCTTTTTGTATGATTAAAGTTCCATTCCTAGCCCAGTCAAAAAATGCTGCCTTTCTTGGCCAGCGCAGGTGTGGATTCCCCCGGGGCCTGCCGTGTTCATCAGCGGCAGCGAGCAAGGCGCGGTTTCAACGAGTGTTCCAAAGACCTCTTGGTTGATGATGAATTCGGGGATTATATCCCATACAATGTGGGGCCCCCTAGATAGCTAAGTTGGTTTATAACTCCAATAACTATGGTTTATGGTACTTATAACTATAGTTAATAGGGTTATAAACCAATTTATAACTGGGGGGCACCACTTTGTAGGATCCATGGTGCTGGTATATATGCTAGCGGGGGTATATTGATGGTAAATGTTAGAATTCGGGTACAGGATGGGCCCCCCCAGTGATGTTTTTACGTTGGTTTATAAACCATGAAATAATCCCCATGAACTAGTTCGTTATATCTACCATAAACCATTGTTAAGCCACTTATAAACCAACTGAACGCTATCTTGGGGGCCCCATCCTGTACTACCCAATATATTGGGGGTTATATTACTCCAATGCGGGAATTCCTATAAACCAACCAGTATATAATGGAATGATAGAGGGATTTTGAACACTGCTCATTTAGCCATTAAAAAATGATGGATCGTTGAAGACTACAGGGTTTTGTTCCTATGATTTCTAGGTGTTGATTGGTATTTTATTGGATATTACTATGGGCACGTAAATTCTATGGTTTATGGTACATGTATGTATATATATATACATATATATATATGTGTATACATCAAACTAGTTCATCAAACATATGACATGAGGGATGAGTCAACTAGAAAATCCATGGGACTTAGCTATCAAAATAGTGGTGTCAATCACTAAAAAAATGCGATATAGTTGGCACAAGATGGTTGATTGATGATTAGTTCGGGAGGTATACTGCCCAATACATTGGGGATGATCATTATCCAACTGAGAATCCGGTTTTTAACCACACCAGCAATCCATTGAATGACGGACAGTTTTAAAGGGTTGTTTCTTGAAATTGGCATATGTGCCATGGTCAAAAGTTGGATGTTATTCTATACCCATTTTCATCGTGGTATCGACATTAATGCCATTAACAGGGAATTCCAATGGTCAATGCCACCTTCATGGTTGGTTGACCATAAGCTATATCTCATCTTGTGACCACGGCACATATATCATAGCCTACATAGCCCAGATTTGAAAAGTACCCTCCTCTGGTAATTTAACATAACTATGGAAAATTACCATGTATAGTGAACTTTCCCATGAAAAATTGTGATTTTCCATTAGTTATGTTAGTTTACCAGGGGGTAACATCCTAAAATGCTGGTAGATGACTTGTCGATTTGAACGTGACGTTACCGCACCCGAGTTTCGTCCAACGATGATTTCACCATGATTTCGGCCAGTAACTTGGAGGTTTGTATCCTGAAAGCCTTTGAAACCGATGATAGAAGCGGTGATTTGGTGGATAGGGTCATGTAATGTATGTGGCCGTTGTGTTCCTTGAAAGTGCTACGATTGCCATAATTTTCTTTGTTTCAGGTGTACTTGGTGGCTCATCCCACTTAGTAAATGGGTTATAACATGTTGTAACCCCAGTTATAAATGGGATAAGTAGGGTTAATCCACTTATAACTGGGGTTATAACCCATTTACGAGCCGTGGGATGAGCCACCAAGTAGCTAATCGTCATCACACCGCATGATGCTGAATCCACAGACCGAAAGCTGGACGTGATTTCACTGCAGCTGTCCATGTGTCTTGGCAGCCGGTTTCCATGGTTTCCCTGTGGCCCTGTAGTTGCAACTACAACTAGCTCTCTTACCCTAAAAGGCCCCAGAAAACGTTACAACTAGTTACAACTAGTTACAACTAGTTACAACTAACCCCCTAACCCTGGCACACAGATAAGTTCTCCTCTATGAAACACATCGTTTTATTCACATTCGAAGCATTGGAATCGTGGTCAGTTCAGGATTCCACCATTTTTTCCGTTACCTTCCGTTCAAACTGTAAACAAAAGCGGCCGTGGAATCAGGTTTGGGAATAAATGTTAGACAATTTGAGATACATAAACCATATTGATATCTAAAATATAGTCTATCAAATATAGACACAAAAAAGATACTATAATTTTAGATACATAAAACACTATATTGATATTGTCTATCTCTATCGAAAATGTGTTGTTTGCCCTTTTCGATTGTGTCGTTCATCCCTATGGACCTGAGTTCATCCAACATGGAACTAGGTCATCATGTTAGTTTGAACTAGGTCAATCGACTAGATGGATACAAACTATGGAAAATTACCATTTTTTATAGGTAAACAACTGTTTCTATGATGATGAGTGAACTAGGTCAATCGACTAGATGGATACAAACTAATCCTAACTGTTGTCTTTTGGTATGGGAATATCGAACCATTCACCAGCAAAGAATTTGGTCCATTTTTTGCAGGCTATCTGGCTGATTGGCAATGGTAAATCCCCAAAATCTCAGCAGTTGTGTTGATAAATGTCCAAACTCTTGACGGTGAAAACATCTCAATTCTTGTGGGGGCTTTGTGGCTCGCTCGATGCTCGCTCGATGTATCAGTTGGAGGTCTCATTCGGACACATCTAGCTCCACAGTTAAATCCTAGGCAAAGCTCTGGGTAGATGAGTAGTTAGGTTTTCTAAGTCATGGGGGATCCCCAGTCGTCACCATGGGTTTCAATGCTAAGGTCTAATTTGGATGATTTGGGGGTAGCCCCTTGACTTACGAAACCTCCATATAACCCTGCTAAGACATTCAAATACGTGGTACAAAGATGATGCATGAAGTCTGTACATTGTCAGTGGTGTATGTCATTCTCCCAGAAATATCTTAGTTCTAGGTTAGGTCATAAATGAAGAGTTATATCTCAAGGGCGTCTCCCCTACTAGCCGTATCTATTTTTTTCAGATCCTCCCGTTGTGTGCTGATGTCATGCAATTAGAACCCAGTGACATCTTCATGCAAACAGTTACGCTCATGAAAAAAACCTATTTGGGGTTTCCAGAAATGGGAATATACCAAAATGGATGGCTTATTTCCATGGGAAAATCCCAACCTAAAATGGATGAAATGGATGATGACTGGGGTACCCCCTGACTCAGGAAATGCCCATAAATGCCCTTCGGTAATCGACAAACGTGGCGTAGGCTAGAAAATCAACCATTTATGTGATGTTGCCAGCGAACAAAACCTCCTTTCATAGAGGATTTCCCATTGCGATGTTTGATTGCGCGAGGGTACACGGGAAATTAAACAATGTAACTATGTAGCTATACATACTCTTAATGGCACCATCTCAAAAGTCGCCAGCATTTTGGCTTTATCAATTACAAATTCATTTGCCCAAATAAATGGCGCCCCGACACATGTCATGTCACTATAGATTATTGACCATAGTTCCTGCATGTATATCCGCCAGTTATGTTTTGATGTACATTAATTATATGGAAATATACCAAGAACATCCAAGAACTACTTCCATAAATACAAAATGTCAACCCCAGATTAAGATTTATCCTGGTTGATTGCTTCGAGGGCAGTTCCCTAAATAGGACCATAGGAACCAGTCGCTGCCAAAATGGTCCCTCCATCTAAGGATCATTGGATTGCTGTTGGGAAAATCGAAACGGGAAACCATGGTTTTACATGCTTTTGCCATTCAATTAATCAGGCTATTGGTTTAAATGTTCCGAAAACCAATCCAATGACTGGAGATAAAGCCCATTAACATCCATGAACTAGCTCGTTAGATCATGTTATACCATAAACCATAGTTCATTCAGCCATATAACATAGAATTGAGCCACTGTTTAAACCATGTTTGATGTTATATGTTTAACCATTATTAACCAATGAAATAACCAGCATTAACTAGTTCGTTATATCAACCATAAACCATATAGTTAATGTTCCAAACCGCCAACCAGATATGTAAAAATTACTTTACTTCGTGTGATCCCCACCATGACATTTATACATTTTCTTACTGGCAAATCTTCTGGCATTCTATCTGACATATCTTCTGACATTCTATTTGACATTCTATCTGGCATATCTTCTGGCATATGATCTGGCATATCTTCTGGCATATCTTCTGGCATTCTATCTGGCAAATCTTCTGGCATTCTATCTGGCATTCTATCTGGCATATCTTCTGGCATATTATCTGGCATTCTATCTGGCATATCTTCTGGCATATCTTCTGACATTCTTTCTAACTTTCTTCTGCACATTCTTTGTCCCATATCTTCCTACATGAGGTACGGCAGGGAACACTTGGCGTGGATACTCGCGGTTGAGGTCCGGCAGGGAACACTGGGCGTGGATGGTCGTGGTTGAGGTCCGGCAGGGAACACTGGGCGAGGATGGTCGTGGTTGAGGTCCGGCAGGGAACACTGGGCGCGGATGGTCGTGGTTGAGGTCCGGCAGGGAACACTGGGCGTGTATGGTCGTGGTTGAGGTCCGGCAGGGAACACTGGGCGTGGATGGTCGTGGTTGAGGTCCGGCAGAGAACACTGTGGATCGCGGGTCGCAGTTGAGCAAGGACGACGAGGACGACGAGGACGACGAAGAGGACGAGGAGGAGGAGGAGAGGAGGACGAGGCAGGAGGAGGCGGAGGAGGAGGAGGAGAAGGAGGAGGAGGAGGAGAAGGAGGAGGAGGCAACTGACATAAAATCTAACAACCCTCACCTGGCAGGTGGGGAAAAAAACCCTTAAATCCCATTAAACCACCATTTTTGTTGGTGTTTTGTTGGTTAAGTCACCAATTTCCATGTTTCAACCAGTGATGTTAGTTGGTTTATAAACCATGAAATAACCATCATTAACTAGTTCGTACTAGTTCGTTATATCTACCATAAATTTTCTAGTTTTTTCAGCCACAAAAATTTTAGGCGTCCCACGGTTCATGCGGCAACGGGGGTCCTATCCTGTGGAGATCCAGGCTGAGCACGCGTCTGGAACTTCAGCTACCAGCCGAAGCGCCGCTCTCCACGCCGGGGGCTGAAGGGCTGAAGGGGGGGCGTTTTCGACGTTCGAAAGTGGGGGAAATAAAATTCCATGAATTTACTATACTAGTTAATAGTTATAGTTAATGTTGGTTAGTTAATAGTTTATGGTTAGTTAATAGTTAATTGTTATAGTTATAGTTATAGTTATGGTTATAGTTAGTTACTTAAGCCCCATTAGTTATCTATAGTTCGCCCTTTGATTGGTGCATCATCTCGGTGTCAGCAGCCAGGTTGGTGGCCGAAATCTCCCGCTTGGGCTACCCAAATCCCTTGCTCCTTGGCGAGTGAAACGCGAAACGCGAAACGTTACAATGTGGACCCCCCCGGTTATGTTTGATGGTTTACAAACCCCATTAACTATGTTATTTGCGCATCATAAACCATAGTGACATTGGAGTTATTGTAGGACCCCTCGATTGAATTCGGTTGATGGATTTTTCCATATTTTCTGAATTCAGGGAACATCCAAATCTATTTGAATCACTCTAGTACACAGATGTGATTTTACCTCATTTCCAAGCGTCCTATGGTGTTTGGGGTTGCCAGATGTAGAATTTTTCCATTAAATGCAAAAATGCAATGTTAGGGGACCTCGTGCATGGAAAAATTGGACACTTCATGTTTCACAGGGGGAATATTCCAAAATCTGGTGGTTTGGAACATTTTTTATTTTCCATAATATATGGGATAATCCTTCCCATTGACTTTCATATTTTTCAAGATGGTTAAAACCACCAACCAGAAAATGATGGTACCCTGATTGTTTCTCACGTCAGATTTCCTCATGGTGATGGCGATTCGACCGACTGCCCAGGATTGTCGGCCCTCGGAAACAACGCTGGACGGGATTCGGCTCAGACCCTGCACTGCAGTGCATCTCTTTGCGCAAGTTGTTGGATGCTTCGGGTCAGTGAAAGTTACCTGTTCCCAATGTTGCACCAGTCAAATCACATACTTTTGCTTGTACCATGTTGCATCCATTGCAAAGATCTGTATTTCATCACCATTGGACCCGAAGCTGCTTCGATTCATGAACTTTTAAATGTGCAGACTGTCCGGCCAGCTGCGAAACGACGGATAACAGCCATGGTCCAATGTTCAGTGAAGATCCAACCTAGCAATTTACAAATCTACCGTCTTCAGACTTCTTGTCTACAAAACATGGCGATTTTCCACCACTCATTCGATTAAAGAGAGAGTCTCATGGAGACAACTCATTGATGTGTTTATTGAGATCTATGCCTTTAAATAGCACTTCTGCTGCCAACTAGATAGGGAAAGGAAATGCCAATGGTTGTGTAATGTGGTGTAACTGAGGCGTGGCGACTTGATTCGGAGCTTTCCTGAAATGGGGGTACCCCCAGTCATCATCCATTTGAATAGGATTTTCCATGAAATAAACAACAACTGGTTGGTGGTTTCAAACAGGAATTTTGTATGTTCCATTTCATATATGGGATGTCAGCCTTCCCATTGACGAACTCCATCATTTTTCAAGATGGTTAAAATTAATTTCACCAACTTCACGAACCAGACAAAATTGGAGGTGCCCCATTTATGGAAACCCCCCATTTGGGCGATTTTTCAGGGTATCGACCTCTGGCCGTTCTCCAATTCCTTTGGCCAAACCACCTTTGGGTCACGCGAGCCAAGCGCCACGCACGCGCGGGCACGTGCGGGCACGGTCGGTTGACAAAGCCACTGCCGGCCATCATCTGGAGGATGAATGGCCGGCGAAAGATCAGAATTGCAAGAACGATGTGTTGATGTACTTAGTTATTGGCTTAAATATAAATATATTGATATTAAACATATTAATTAGATATATTTAAGTTTTTTTCATAATCCCATCCCCTTGATATGGATTTATTTTACCCCCAAGAATGGATCATTAAATTTTTGGGTCCTCAATTTGGGTCCTCAAAATGGATCGATCCAATAAACCTGGGTCCGTCGGGGGGCGCATGGTGGGAAATGTGTTTCTCCCAAGTCAGGGAGGGAAGAGCCAAATTTTCCAAGCTTCTGATTCTAGCTGCCTTTCTGGGATCGTTTTTTTTGATGGCCACCATGGCACCAGCCCGGTCATGATGTAGACCAAGCTTCACAAAAAAGAAAAGTCATTTCGGATGAGCAATGCAGCAAGACCTGTTGATGGCATCAAGAAGCGCAGAATCAGCCAATGTGAGAATGGTTGAGCGGGGAACATCATCTCTAATGGGTGTTTCTTTGCAAATGCAGCTATTGACGGGTTGTTTTGATTATCTCAACACCGTTCCCATATATCTCTTCTTGCAGCAGATACCGACACAAAATCCCATTTGTCGAAAGTTGACTGGTTGAAAACTTGGCGACCCCGAAAAAAAAGAGGTTTTGGTGCGGATACACATCAGTGTGACAATGATACCAAGTTGGACAGCGGTCTCTGGGTATTTCAACTTGGGAAATCCTGATCTTTTGAAAAGGTACCCTTTGGTCAACTAACATAACTATGGAAAATCACCATTTTTAATGGGAAAACTCACTATAAATGGCCATTTTCAATAGCTATGTTAGTTTACCAGAGGGTACCGGGTAAACCATTGTGGACATACTGGTAGTGTTTCTTTGTCCTAGAGGATTAAACGTCGACCCGTGCACTGGCCACTGGCCATGGCAGTCGTTTGTCACTGATTTTCACCGGTTTTGGGCAGAGTCTGACGAACGCAGGTCACCTGAAATCAATGGGGACTGGAGCAGCTTCCCTGGATAGAGCTACTCCAATGGGAACTAGATGGAACGAGTAACTAGTCACTTATTGTACTGGTTGGTGGTTTGGAACCATGGAATTTTATGTTTTTCCATTCAGTTGGGATTTTCATAACCCCAACTGACGGACTCCATCATTTTTCAGAGGGGTTTTGCTCAAAACCACCAAGCAGTAATGATTTGATGTCATGAATTCTTTGGTTGGCTTTTTACCCCTCTGACCTCCAATTACCCTCTGGTTATTTAACATAGCCATGGAAAATGGCCCATTTATAGATGGTTTACCTGGGTTTACCTATTAAAAATTGTGATTTTCCATGGCTATGTTAAATAACCAGATGGTAAGCATAATTAAGCATATGATGGGATACCGCTTCGACCCAAGGTTGTTGCCATCAGATACTACTCAAGTGCAAGACTCAGAAGACTCTGCTGAACACTGCACTCTTGCAGGGTTTGGTAAACGTCCCAAAGCTTTGGCAATTTGGGAAAGATCTTCTGCACCAAGTATAGCAACTTCACATGAACCTCACTTGGGTAACTTGTTTGGACAGCATGTTGTGTGGTTATCTTTGACAAGACCTCCTACCCTCTTATAAACATATAAAAAGCGACATGGAAAATGACCATAGAAATAGTGAGTTTTCCCATTAATATCATGGTGATGTTCCATAGTTTTTTGTATGTTTACCAGAGGGTATGTTTGTTGGGTGATACTGTGATACCTCACTTTTTGTTTCTGAAATAACAACGTCATGTGAATGTGTGGTTTTCCTGATTCAACAGCAGCCTAAATCAGAAAGACCCATGGACAATATGTAGAATAGGACAGAATAGGTAAACCTTGGATGGTGTCATATCGATATCATCTTTAATATGTTTTATGATCTTTTCTATTTCTAAAAAACGGGCTAAGCTGGATATCTACCAACTAGCTAACTAGCTAAGCTGGTGTCATTTTTTGGCTTTTCCTTGGGTCAATGGATTGGTTTAAGGGAAAATTTACAGGAAAGCCCCATATTTAATGGGAAAATCTATGGTTTCCTGTAGATTTTCCCTTAAACCAATCCATTGATTGGGGTTTTCCGAAGTTTTCCCATGTTTCTCGCTGGGACAGTCCTCGCCAAAGCTTGCGCGACCTCGCTCGGTGTCCTTTTCTTCCGATCTTCCGATGCCGAGCCGTTCCGATGCCTTGCTCCAGGAGTGCCTGAAAAAAAGGTGCCATTTGCTGAAGAAAACACGTGGAAAATTGGAGATTTCACCGACAAAGATGTGGGATAATGAAAAAAAACCTGGATTAATAAACCCCAAACGGCCTTAGGCTGTGAAAAATTGGGGTACCATTTAAAAATTGGATTATGACTATTGGAGGAGTACCCCCCTAATTAATAAACCATGGTTTATTAATCCTGGGTTGACATTAAAAATATACAGTATATATATATATATATACACCCATATGCGAACCATGGTGCTGGTATATTTACCTACAAAACTGGATGATTTTGTTTGGGCAATTGTTGGTAAATATTCCAGCACCATGGAGCATATGTGTATGTATGTATGTATGTATGTATGTATGTATGTATGTATGTATGTATGTATGTATGTATGTATGTATGTATGTAATGTATGTAATGTATGTATGTATGTATGTATGTATGTATGTATGTATGTATGTTAGTATGTTATGTATGTTATGTATGTTATGTAGTTTTGTATGTATGTAATGTCTGTATGTAAATGTCTGTTGTATGTATGTAATTATTTACTTTAGGTCATTTATGTAATGTATGT